CCTAGAAGAGGAAGAGAGATGGGAGAATGGCCAGATGGTGGAGCAGTCAGAAGACACATATTTATTGATAACATACACTATCTTATATGGATGCAGTTGATGGTGCCCTAAAATAATTATAATAGTAACATAAAAGATCACCATGGAAGATATAATGATAATAATAAAAATGTTTGCTATACTGCAAGAATTACTAAAATGTGACAAGAGACACAAAGTGAGCACATGCTAGTATAAAAGTGGCACCAGTAGACTTGCCGTACAACAGGGTTGGTAGAAACCTTCAACTTGTAAAAGATGCAATATCTGCAAAGTGCAATACAATAAGGTATGTCTATATGTAGTGTTTCAAGGTTTTAAGAAGCCTGGCATTTCATTTAAGGTGACTTCCCATTTTGGTTTTTTGAGAAGTGAGTGAAAACAAGTCTCAACTTTAATGATTACATTTTGCAAAACTAAGAACTTTGTATTGGGAAGAAAAACGATGCTTGTGATGGTTAAAATTATGTGATGACTTGACTGGATGAAAAGATGTTCGAATAACTGGCAAAACATTACAGTTGTTCCTAGATGTATAGGAGGGATTGGTTCCAGGACCTGCTACATATTCCAAAATCTGCATATACTCAAGTTCTATGATCAGTGCTGCAGAACCCACATATAAGGGTTAAACACTATTTTTGACCTGCATTTGGTTGAAAAAAATCCATGTATAAATGTACCTGCACAGTGCAAACCAGTGTTGTTCAAGGGTCAGCTGCATTTCTTGGTGTGTCTATGAGAATGCTTCTGGAAGATATTATCATTTAAATAGGTAGATGGAGTATAGAAGGTCACCTTCACCAATGTGGATAGGAACCATCTAATCTGTTGAGGGCCCAAAGTAAACGAATGGGCAAATACAACAAATTTTCACTGTTCTTGAGCTGGAGGATCTATTTTCTCCTGCCCTCACACATCAGAATTCCTGGTTGTTGAACTTTTAGACTACAGGGACTTACAGAAGTGAGCCACTCTGTTCTTAGGCCTTCAGACTCAGAGTGAATTATACCACCAGATTTCCTGGTTCTCCAGCCTGTGGACAGTTTATCATGGGACTCCTTGGCCTCTATGATCATGTAAGTCAATTCTAATAATATATCTCCTTGTTTACATCTCTATTTATCTATACATATCCTATTAGTTTTGTCTTTCTGGAGAATACATAATTATTGTTATTTAACAATCATTGGGAGGAATAAAAATGAGAAAACACTCAGTGTGTTTTGAGTGTGGAGTGAAGAAATTAGAAATAGAGAATATCTAATCTTATATTTGATATTTCAGTTGTAGCAGAAGTCCAATAAGTTCCCTGAAATTTCATTATTTTAAGTGAAATATATAGAAGTCACAGAGTTACTACAAACTCTCTACAGAGGGTTGCTATGAAACTTCAATATCTACAAAGTGCAATACAATAAGTTATGCCTGTACATAATTTTTCAAGGTTTAAAGGCTGGGATTGCTTTTAATATAACTAGAGAGTTATCTAGTATATAAGGCCATCCATCCATACAAGTATTCTTATCATAAAAGAAATGTTTGAAATTGAGAGTGAGTGCTTTCAAAAGGTGAAGTAGTGGTCTGCTAGAACTGGCTTCTACAGGCTTATGAGAGCAATAGTCAAATTTAGAAAAGTTTTACAAACCAGTTTCTAAGCAACCATCATAAAAAAATAAACGCTATAAACATAATTAAATGAATTACATCGTAAAAATGGTAATACAGATTCAAAATCCATCACTTTGTAATTATTTTACATTTTTCTGTTATCTACAATCTTGAGGTTATTTAGGTCTATTGTATCTGTATGGTGCAAATGACACAATTATGGGTTTTTCCATTTTTCCTATTCTACATTCTTTTTTTTTTCTTTTTTTTTTTTTTTGAGACAGAGTTTCGCTCTTTTTGCCCAGGCTGGAGTGCAATGGCGCGATCTCGGCTCACTGCAATCTCCGTCTCCCAGGTTCAAGCAATTCTCCTGCCTCAGTCTCCTTAGTAGCTGGGATTACAGGCGCCTGCCACCATGCCCAGCTAATTTTTTGTATTTTTAGTAGAGACGGAGTTTCACCATGTTGGCCAGGATGGTCTTGATCTCTTGACCTCATGATCCACCTGCCTCGGCCTCCCAAAGTGCTGGGATTACAGGTGTGAGCCACCTTGCCCGGCCCCTATTCTACATTCTACATCAACTTGGTAGGTTGAAATCACCCATTGTGAACCACTTACAGCATGGAAATTCAACAAATTTACAAAAATATCAACACACATTCATGTCAGAATGACTTTCATTCATTCATCATAGGCTAGTTTAGCTGCATATAAGAATTCAGTCACAATCAACTAGTTATGTTCATTGTGCAATACAGGGTACTGTGTATTTTGTTCTTATTTGTAAATTGTATGTTACCCATATTTTATATCAGAACATCCTATAATAAAGTTATACATATACATGCATGCTTTTTTTCAGAAATCTGATAATTAAACTTTTCTAGAGCACCAATAGATATAAGTGATTCATCACATTACGTTTATATTTTCTGTATTTCAATGTTTTGTGATACTGTCACATAAACCTTTCTGGCCGTTTTTAACTCTGTCCAGTGATGGCCAGTATAAAAGATCAACCTTAGAACCCTGCATTGTGGACACTGGAGAGACCATAGAGTAGTCAGAAGGAAACCACTGTGGCTCGTTATTCAAATACAGGATCCAAGGCTTATTTTGCAGAAACTGTGAGAGAGGTATATTCCCCTCCTCAGTTCCACAACACAACCTCAGACTGCCCTTCAGAAAATTCTTGTTCTTTTTCCAGGAAGAGATTCACTTCAGGGAGTAAAAAAATAAAGATGAACAGAAACAATGTATTCAGTAGCAATGTCTTTCCTTCCACACCTCTTTCTAGAGCTCCCTCACCCAAACGTTTTGTTTTGTGTTTTGTTTTGTTTTGTTTTGTTTTGTTTTGTTAGGGAGTGAATTCAGTGTTTCAATGTGGCAGCAATTATTATTTTTATAAAATGATTCTATATATGAACCTAACTTTAAGATCAGTAGACAAACTTGATTGCTTTTACTCATATTGGGGAAATTTCTCACAAAAAAAGAAGACAATTCAAATTGAGTAAAAATTTAAGTGTGGTAGATTATTTATTGAACATACAGGTTTAATACATAATTTAAAATCATTTACATGAACATAGAAGTTTTTAAACATCAGTTTATTTGTATAAGCTGTATGTTAGTGTTCTTCAGAGGAAAAAAAAAAAAAAGGAGATAGATCCCAACACACACACACACACACACACAATTATGGGACCGAACTAATGTACTAATAGAGGGTTAGTAGTCTCATGATCTGCCTTCTGCAAATTGGAGAACCAGGAAAGCAGGTAGTGAAATTCGGGCCAAGTCCAAAGACCTGAGAACCAGAAACTCTGATATCTGAAGTCAGGAGAAGATAGATGCCCCAGCTCAAAAAAAAAAGGAGAATTCGTTCTTTCTCTGCCTTTTTGTTCTATTCTGACCCTCAATGGATAGGACGATGCCTGCCCATGTTAATGATTTTCTTACTTAGTCCACTGACTCAAATGTTAATCTTTTCCAGCAACATCCTCAGAGACACACCCAGAAATAATGTTTTACCAGTTATATGGACTTCCCTTACCTTAGTCAAGCTGACACATAAAATTAACCATCACAGACTGTGAAGGGTGGCAGAATATGTCACCCCGAAATATGCTAGTTTGGTGTAAAGATTATTTTGAGCTAAAGGCCCTTGAAAAACAGCAAATGCAAGAAGGGCATTCTAATCTCCTCTTTTCTTCCTGAAAACAGGAGACAAAAACTCCCATGTGAAAGATACGCTCCCTGTACCAGAAGAGAAGAAACATTCTTGTCACCGGAGATGAGGAGTTGAGACTAAAAAAAAACTGTACAAACAGACCTTGTTAAAATAGCTCTTATCTTCCTTTAGCCTCCCCACACATTTTAGTTACTTTTCCACAATTGTCACACTTTATTCAATCTGCTATATAAGCATTTGGGTTTTACCACTTCTTAGGGTCTTTATTGTCCTATGGCAGCACCCATGTACATGTAAAAAGTCTGTATATGTTTCTCCTGTTAATATATTTTATGCCAATTTAATTCTCAGGCCCAACCAGAGGACCTAAGAGCATTGAGGCAAAGTTTTGCTTGCTCTGTAACTGAGATGTCAGGATTATCTGACAAAGACTCCTTGATCAGGAAGATAATCCCAAGTTAGAATGAAATCTTTATAGAAAAGGGGGATCCACATTGCAATTAAATTGCTTGTAACAGTTTCTGGTTACACCTTAGTGGTAAAAAGTACAGCTTCCTATAAATGGTGATTAAAAATAAAAGTCTAGAATTATCCTTACTTCACTTGATTACTATTAGAGAGCCAATAGGCTGTTTTCCTTTCATTAAGGGAGGTAATGTTCCTAAGGAATTAATGAGATTTTTCATCAGTTCTCAAGGTATGTATAAAGTTCCTAGAAACAACTCATCAAATGGTCATTTGTACCCACTCTAGGACACGCATACCAGAGACCTAACAGTGATTGTCTCCTCCTTTCCACTTTGCCCTGAGTAAACAAAACAGCAAGGCCCATTTTAACCTAAAAAGGATTCACATTTTCAACCAACTTTTAAAATTAAGATTCTTTTTGTTTTGTTTTTTTTAATTTGTTTTTATTTTTTGAGAGTCTCACTCTGTGACCCAGACTGGAGTGCAGTGGCACTATCTTGGCTCACTGCAATCTCCAACTCCTGGATTCAAGAGATTCTTGTGCCTCAGCTTCCCTAGTGGCTGGGATTATAGGCACCTGCCACCACTCCCAGTTAATTTTTGTACTTTTAGTAGAGATGGGGTTTCATCATGTTAGCCAGGCTGGTCTTGAACTCCTGACCTCAATTGATCCACCCACCTTGGCCTCCCAAAGTGCTAGGATTACAGGTGTGAGCCACTGCACCTGGCTGATTCTTCTTAATAATCACAAAGGGGTCTCCCTTTTGAAAAAGATGTAACAATTTTTAACATTTCATGTTAGAAACAGTGTGAGGTTTTCTCATACGTGGTACCTAAACTCAGATGACAGGCAGAAACCTCAACTTGTTCCTGAAGTCTCTCAAGAGCCCAGTGCCATCTCAGGCCACCTTCACTATGCAAATAGACCCAAGGTGGCAGGAGGATGCTGCAAGGACCAGTTCCAGCACATTCCATTCCATTTGCTCAAACTCAATACCTGAAAGACAAAAGAATCTCTTACCAAACTTGATAGTGTTAACTTTTAGGGACCTACATTGGAGAGTTAATACAAAAATGTGTTAATTCATGAGGCAATATTTCAGAAAACAGCTGAAGACAATAGAAAATATTGTCTTCCCTACTTCAGGAGACAAAATTTTTCCCTACTTCAGGAGAAAGCCCCAGTTATTTAGAATATGAAATCATAAAATTCAAGATAAGGAGAAAACCCCCAGAATTTATTTGATCATTCAGGTTCTCTTGAATGAGTCAACATGTACCAGTAGAAAAAAATGAAGGAAATCTTTCCACATTGAGAAGCTTATTTAGTCAGCAGATGACTCTCTAAATGTTTCTGTTAAAGTCCCTGTGCCTGTACTTTTAGCCCCAGGGGGGTAAATAAACCTCAGAGTTTAAACAATTCATCACAGCACCTGGATCTATTTACAATAAAATCATATTTTCACCAAAACCTTTTCATGCTAATACTGGGTCCAGTGTATACTTCTGATGTACAAGGTTGAAAGTATTTTTTTTTCCAATGGAAAAAGGTGCTTGTGACTCAATTTTCTTATACTTCACAGTCCTAAGTTACTTGGTTGAGGGTTTATTGTACTAATTTGTTTTGGGTGAACCCCATACACTTAACAAATCCTTCTTTAGCCAAAGCAACTTGATCTTTTTTTTGACCAAAACAAATCAACCAAATCAGAGAGAGGTGGGAAGAGAGTAATTTTTTCCCCTGAAAGATTAAAAATGCATGGTTGAATAGATTATTAAAAAAAATATTAAGAACTTAGAAATCACATGTGGGTAAGGGGAGAGAAGGAGAATTTGACAACAAAAATGTCAAAACTTTTAGAATTCAATGTATTCTTTGCTGATTCTAGTTAGTCCAGTATATATAATAATCAAAGAACAAATTCTGCGTAGTGGTGAAGAGATTTAAACTAGGGGCTTTTAGGTACAGATTCACATTACAAAACCTTGGTTCCTGCACTTCCCTGGCTTTTTCTAAGAATTTTTTGTAAACCTGAAGAAAGTTTATAATTAAACAAGAAAACTCCCTTTATCCCAATCAACAAAGCAGGTGTCTAGACTGCTATGACTGTGACTTCTACACTATAGTCTCCACACCCCTTTCCACCAATAAAACTAAAAGTAAAAGAAAGAGTCTCACCTGAGTAACTGTGAATTCCTGTGTAGAAAATTTTAGTATTTTACCAAAAAGGAAAGTTGGTCATCTTGAAAGTACATAAAGTGCAATACTATTTAGAGCAATGGTGAAATCAAACATGGTGTGCTCACTGGGAAGTTTGCAACGTTTGACAAATTGTAATTCTGTTCTTTGCAAACTTCTAAACACTTCCTGCTAAGTGACAACAAGCTTCAGCAAGTTTCCACAAACCTTCTGCAGCTTCTTCATCTCACTATAAAGAACAGATGCCTTTTAGGGGCTGCTGTGAGCTCTTCTGTTCTCTGTACAATATGTACACGTACAAAAAGGAATTCACATTCGATGAAAATGTGATAGTCAAGGCCTCCAGAAAGCTTTTGCACTAACTGCACAGCATTCCAACAGCTGGCCTAATTCAAGGGCTCTCTGTCAATCACAGAAAAATGTGACAGACTTGTGACTTTGTGGCAAAAGCAACAAAATTTACAGTTTGAGAGAATTACATCAATAACAAAATAATTTGTGTCGTTAAAATATACAAAGATGCTTCCATTTGTTTTCTAACAAGTTTAATTAAAATGAATGTATATTTTCATAGTTAATATTAGAAAACTGAAAAGTAGATAAATAAAGCTCTAGTCATTTTAATTCAAATCATTAGGGCAAAAAATACGTATCTGGCAATATTTTTTTATGAGGATTAATGCCAATAAATTCAAGTCAAAAAAGAACTCATGCATTATGGGAAAATCACAAAGTTTACTGCGTACTTGATTTTCAAGTTTTTTTTTTAAGTGAACTCAGTTTCCAAAATATTAATCTACTCATAGAATTCACAGGTCATATTTACCAGTACATACATTTATTTTACAATATTTTAAATAAATTTTTGATTGTTCAATTTAAAATTTTATCTAGTATTCTTTTTCTTTTTTTCTTTTTTTTCTTTTTTTATTTTGTGTTTTTTTTTTATTATTATACTTTAAGTTCTAGGGTACATGTGCATAACGTGCAGGTTTATTACATATGTATACTTGTGCCATGTTGCTGTGCTGCACCCATCAACTCGTCAGCACCCATCAACTCGTCATTTACATCAGGTATAACTCCCAGTGCAATCCCTCCCCCCTCCCCCCTCCCTATGATAGGACCCAGTGTGTGATGTTCCCCTTCCCGAGTCCAAGTGATCTAGTATTCTTTTAAACCAAGTTTCTTTTAGAATTTGTATTCTATTCAATGCAAAAAAAATTGTTTGTAGTCCAAAAGACTTATTCTCAGACATTCTTGTTCATATTATCTTAATCTTTAGCTTCATCTGTGATAATTGTCAAAATCAGCAATTACTGGAATTACTCTCTGAGAAAGTTAAAGTAGCTGATCTAAATTGGGGATCCTTAGACAATAATTAGACAAGTTTGTCACACATTGCTCTAAAAATAAATACGTAAATACATAAATAAATACATATAAACAAATAATTGAGAAAACAGTTGTCCAAGACATTTGAATAATCATTAGTAGTTTAACTGGAGGACAACTGCAGAAAAAAAATAGTAACTTAAAATAGAAAAAGAAAAATAACTTTATAGTAACTGAATGACTTCTATAGCTACTCCTTTAAGCAAGAAATAAAAAAAAAGTAGGGAGCTTGGAACACAAGTCAAAAAGAAGGAGAAAAATGATAGTTTTCTTAAACATGCATATCACATGTTTTATTAGGTAAATTTTGATACAAAAGGTCATATACACATTACTATAATTTAATTTTGTCATTAAACTGTATAATTTGGGGTGGGAAGGCCAATGATACAAATCGTTTTCTTGAGACACATATTACATGTGTGATACCATAAATTTCTTTGCACTATTCTTTTCAGAATTTTGCCTACACTAGGTTTTCATAATTGGCATCTTCTACTTTACAGTTTGGGTTATAATTGATAACCATATTATATTTTATTTCCAAACCTATGATCAATATTTTCATTTAGTGATTCCATTCATGTTATTTTTGTTCACTTTAATTACCTAATTAAGTTAGCAAATGTATTAAGTGTGAGAGGAAAAGACTATACTGCTCTAGCACTTATTTGTTCTGTGATATTTGGCAAGATTTTTAACATCTCTGAAGCTTGCTCTCATCTATAAAATGGGGCTAACAAGGTTACCTGACTTACAGTGTTGTTATAAGGATTAAGTGAATTAAAATATTTGAAGCACTGACAATATGGTCTGACACATGGTCAGTGCTCGACAAATATTAATTATTAGTATTAGAATCGAGATGCCGTGTCTTCTCATAAAATACAGTCCCTACAATGACCATATAATTTATCAACCAAACCAGAAAGTTTGTGAGAATAATATATGGCACGATTACTAATTTCTTAGGAACAAAGGTGAAAACCTGGACAGTCCCAGGAAAATAGAACTATATAATTACCCTCTGACCCTTAAATCTCAATGAGTATATGTTTTAATTATTTTAGAAAAAAAATAGACTAAATTGAAATTAAATTAGGATAGAATTTACAGAACTTTGGAGCTGGAAGAAACTTTAGAATCATATAGCTTCATTTCACTATTTTATAGACAGGAAATTTGAGGCCCCAAAACCTGAAAAGAATTAATCAAATTCTTAATGTAAAATCAAGTTCTAAGCTGACTAGATGAGCCAGAGTGACTTGGTTGCAAATTATCTTCAAAAGATAATTCAGTACAGTATGTTTTATTTTATCTTGTTTTTCATGAGTACTAAAATCTGAGCAGTGAATGAAGTATTCAGGCTGCATTTTATTGTTTGGGGTCCGTTCTAGAAAGGAGAGAGATAATGGGGAGGGAAACAGAAAGGAGATGATGTCACTCGAGGCTAAATGGACACCTGTGGATTCATTCAGAGCCTCTTCAGGAGGGGACTGAATATATTTTTTACAGTCCTCGGGTGAATATAATATGTACACTAAACATCAGATTGAAGGGATTCTCTTTATTTCTTAAGACAATTATATGCTAATTTTGTTGAGGAAGAACCATTCCTTTCTACCCTCAACTCTCTGCTGAGCTTACAACTGATTCTACTTTCAGGTTGCAAAGATGGAATCAGTGGCTCAGAATAAACCAAGCCACACCCAGAGAATCCCTTGTGGATGCTGTAGGGATGGATGGAGAATGCTAGTCAGGCCAATCAGAGTCAAGGAAGGAGTTGCATTTCAGCTACAGGAGAGCATCTTTCACTGAACTAGAGTGTTGATAGTAAACTCAGAAATGTACCACTCTAATGGAAGTGAAATCTGATGTCAGCTACATTTGGTACCAGAAAGTTTTCAAGAGCCAGTGAACACTATTTTGTGCAATCCAGTAAGGACCAGATTTCCTATCACTTGCAACTTATCTGTAAATGTATCTATGTCAGCTCACTGAACACCAACGTTGAGGGAGGCTCATGATTGCATACGGAGGAGGAGCTAGAACAGGGCTGGGCCTGCAGACAGAACTCACCAGTTGATGGCAAGTAGGAGGAAAACAAGGTAGGACTTAGATACAACCAGAGCAATGATTCTCAGACTGGCTGTGCATTATTATATTCACCTGCTGACCTTTCAAACTATACCTAGCCCTTCTCCCCAGAGATTCTAATTTAATTGATCTGGCCTGGAGCCCATATCTCCTGATTCATTGAGTCAGGGTTGAGAACCACTGACCCAATTAATTAATCAAGAGAACCAAATCAATTCTGAAAATTCCTTACTTCCTGCTGACCAATGCGGAGTCTTCTAGAGTCTTCTAATGCAGCGCGGACAAGCCTGGGCCATGGCCTTATG